TAATTTGAGGGCCCCAGTGCAGAATAAAAATGTGGGGCCTCAGCCAGGGATGGAGAAATCAATTTCCCCTTCCCACAGGTCCACTGCCCCAACCCATAGCAGATGGGCAACCCACAAGGGACGCACACCTCCATCCCAGGATGCACTTGGGGCCTGGATTGGAGTGGGCGAGAGACCGCCACTGAGTGTCCCACCAAATGAGGCGTGGTGCTGCCATCCCAGGGAAGGAACAGTTGCCAGCCACCTTGCTGGGCCCTAAAACACCACAAGATGCACCCCTGACCCAGATACCTGCCTGGTGCCCAGCCACACCCCTGGGGGCAGAGGTGGCAGCAGTAACTGGGCAGGATCAGGCAGGAGGCTGGGTGGGGCCCAGGGTGCCGGGGGAGGGAAGAGGGCAGCCAAGAACCCATCTCTGAAAAGCAGGAGGCTGCAGGAGGCAGAACCACACCTGCTCTGGATCCAGTTTGGGAGGAGGTCGCTGTGCACATTGACTTCAAATAGGCTACTCTGCTGCCCTGGCTGAGCCAGGAGGCCCAGAGAAGAGCCCCAGGTGGTCCACTTCTTACCTGTTCTCTGCTCTTGACGCAGTCGGGGGGAGTTTGGCATTTAATGCATCTTTGGTTTCCTGCATGGTTTCATTTTCATTTCATTTCACCCACATCCCTGAGAGGCAAACCTTTCCATCTTCTCTCCTCTCCACACTGACCCTCTTCCCAGGCAGGGTGATCCAACCTTCCTGCTTCTTTCTCCTCCTGCCCTCCCTTGCTCTGCCGCCACAGAGGAGAGTTTTGGATGGAATTCCACTCAGGAAATGTCGCTCTTAGCTCCTTGTCTGAGCTACGGTTCTCAACTTTGGCTGCACATTGGAATCACAAGGAGGGGTGTTAAATATTACTGATGCCTGGGAGTGACCCCGTTGACTCTGATGGGACCGGTCTGGGGTGCAGCCTGGACATCAGGGATTTCAAAAGCTCCCTGGGTGATTCTATTGTGCAACCAGAATTGAAAATTGCCGGTCTAGTCATTGTCCACCAGTGTCTAGGTCAGGACGGAGGTTAGATTCCTTTTTAGCTTTGCAGAGACAGTGGAAATTCACAGTGCGGGACGTACCTGGGGGTGCGGGAGCCGTGTCTGGAGCCCAGTCCCCAGTATCTGCATAAAAGAACAATACATTTAGGAAAATCTAAATTAAATTATATGAGGTCAAAGAAATGATGGTTTTCTAGTGTGGGCAGGTCTCAAGCAGTCAGGCACCATGTCACAAATGCAAAAATGACAGCATGGACTCTGGAAAAGCAGCCCCAGGCCTGCCAGAGTCCCCACCTTCCACTCCTGGCCCAGCGGGCCCTCCTCGTGCCCACGATGGACAGTGAAGAGGAAAGAAAGCATCAGAAGTCCCACAATTGGCAGGCAGTGTCCTTGCAGGGTGCAAATTGGACCTGACTCTGAAGCGACTATCCATAGTGCCATCGCTAACAGGAGTCCCCAAGTCTCTCATTTGAGTGAGTCTAGGGTCTAATTCATGCAATGTGTGAAATGGACCAGCTGGTGGAGGGAAGTGGCATCTTCTCACAGGAGTGTCGAGCTTCTGCTTTTCAGCACTCTGGATAGTTCACGAGAGGCTGGTGATGGCAGATACAGCACCAAGACCCTTCATAGCATTCAGCCTTTCCCTGCATACAGTAGCACCGGGGCCATTTACATACAGGATGCATATTGCTGCCTTATTATAGCTTCCCATGTGGCCTTCCCAGTGGGAAAATCTAGCACCTATGGAGCAGGGCTGATTAGCTAAGCAATGGGGGTTTTTAAAAACAGAATCCCAGGCCTCTACTATAAGGGAATCTCTCAAGTTAGAAACTGTCTTGTCTTCTAACAACCAAAAGCACCGTGCGCACTACCCGAAGGATGGACATATTTGAAACACAGACTTCGGTGGGGGGAGGAACCAAGGGCAACACACCTAACCTAATCATCTGTACCACGGGAAGGGCGGCGAGAGGAGGGGGGAGGAGGGAGGAGGGGACAGGTATTTGTATACACAAGGAGTGCAATGCGCACTACCCGAAGGATGGACATATTTGAAACACAGACTTCGGTGGGGGGAGGAACCAAGGGCAACACACCTAACCTAATCATCTGTACCACGGGAAGGGCGGCGGGAGGAGGGGGGAGGAGGGAGGAGGGGACAGGTATTTGTATACACAAGGAGTGCAATGCGCACCACCCGAAGGATGGACATATTTGAAACACGGACTTCGGTGGAGGGGGGGGAACCAAGGGCAACACACGTAACCTAAACATATGTACACCCATAATTTGCTGAAATAAAAAAAAAAAAAATTACCGAAAGCTTCCTACCTGACTCCCTTTCACCCTGTGGAATAGCATTGAACAGAGCATAAAAGCCAGTGTTGGTTATAATAGAATCACTTTGGAACACCACTGTCATGATGTTTGAGGAGGAGAAAAATATCACAGCTGCTAGACCACAGAACTTCCCCATGGAGAGCGAGGCAATTCTGGGGCCATCGAAGATTTCAACTGAGTCATAGGGACAGCCAAGAATATCTTCCAATCTGGGGGGAATAGAAGTGGAGGGTTAGTGGCAGATTAGAAACTTCCTAGATATTGATGCTGAAAAAATGTGACAATCATAGAGACTAAATATTTAAATTATATTTAAATTGCACACTAATATGTAAATTATTAATTTTTTCAAATGCCCTATCAGAATTTTATTTTCTTTGGCTGAGAAATGTGTGAAGCTTATAGTTACAACCTTATAACAGAAGATTTAAAATCATAATGGTTTTGGGTGATCACAACGTACATAGGACATTAGGAAATACTAATTCATACGGCAACTAAATTCATGGCAGTCAGATCACACCAATGATCGGCATGTAACAGACATCACAGCCAGATTTTTCTACCTCTGTATTTCACAATATTTGCCATACCCAAATCACTGGGGAGAAAAAACTCGATTTTAAAATAAAATAATAGCAGCATATATAAGAGTATTTGCAATATGGCAATTATTCATGAGGGGCGTAACAAGGACCAGAATGGACACCTGATAACGTGACAGACTTTGGAGGTGTAGGTTCAAGGTTCTCACCTCACTGTCAGCTAATTGTGCTCTAGACAACAAACGCTTAACATGTGCTAGGTCATTTTTTAGCTTAGGGCATTCTGAATCTATGGCCTTGGTATAGTCATGATGGAATAACAATTCAGTGCATGCCTAAAGCTGGATTAACATGAAATTCCACAGTCTTGCTGTGTTTGGAACATGATATGTTTCACATATTACAAGAAGAAGGGCTTTGTACAGACTCTGCTTGCAGAAACATATTGGTGAGGAGATGCGGCTTTGACATCAGACAGACGTAGTTAGGTTGGCCTTGGGCAAGTTAGTTAACCTCTCTGAACCTCAGTTTCCTCATCTCTAATGGGGATGATAAGGACATGTCTTTGGGCTACAGTAACCCTGACATGTGACAAAGTACATAAAAATGGCAGTGACTTTGAAACATTTATTCTCTTCATGTCAGAGATGAGACAATACCTGTAGTGTCTCCTTTCACTTGCAGAACATTTAGAAGATGTAGGGCCCGGGGCTGGAGTAGTTGGCTAATATGTGTGTATAAAAAGGTTCTTACTGCTTGTTTAAAATTTAGATGAAGGAAAATGAAAGTCTAAGAAGACAGATATTGGTACCTAGTGTGCAACAAAAACAAGCTATTTGAGATTTTTGTGATATTTTTAGAAAACAAATAAAAAGAAAAATTATCAAAGTAAGGTTAAGTCAAATATGTTAATAAACCACTTATTGAATTTTTCAGTCTAGAAGTAACTCATTGAACAGTGCTGCAAAATTAACCCAAACTTTGACTTGGAAAGACTATAGAATTTTGTGTTCTTCTGTTTTCACCTTTAAATGTTTCTCACTAAAGGAAATATCTTTATTTTGATCTCATAAGCCGATATTCTTATTTAGATAGAACCTTCTCTTTCAAAGTTGTTTCCTTACTTCAAATTTGGAATCATGAGTTCTATGTGAAATTTTTTATCCACGTGGATTTCCCAGACACATTGGACATCTGTTGGGTAATCTTCTGGATACCGTGGACTAGAAAATGATCCAGAGAGACTAGAAATGACCCCTCCACAAGAGTTACTTCCTCCTGAAACAACAGGGAAAAAGGATGTCAGGATGTGTCCACATGGTGTCACTTGGTAATCCTAGTAAAGACCAACTCCCACCCAGTGGTTGGGTGGAGTCTGGCAGCAGCATCTTGGGTGGGCACACACAAGCTGTCTGAGTAGACCTTTAGTTTAAATGTCTCTTGGGAAGGAGGGTCTATTCAATCTAATTCTGATGGGCCAAAAAAGATTAATATGTGAGAGGTCACTGCTTTTCCCTCTCTCCCGAAACCTGATAAGGAAAATGTTGTATTTGTCCTCTCTGCTTACTGTCTCCTCCTCCTTTCTACAGTAGAAGGATGTTTGCTTGTTGGGAGAGAAGCAGAGCAGATCTACAAAATGAGAGATTGGGAAGGGGAGACAAAGAAACAGAGGCTGTACGTGCCTGGGAAAGGGAAGAGTTTGAAGAGGTTTGGGGAGCAAGAGGCTCTAGAACAACGAGGGGCTGATGAATTAGAGACGAAGGGAAAGGGACATGTGGACTGTTTGGGGGAGATGATGACTGGCACCTACTTTAAGTACCTTTTATCACTTTTGTTGGGTAGATTGTGTTTCCTTTAACTCAGAATTTGCTCTAAGGCTGGAACTTGCAGGTTTTTTGATATATAAGGGTTAGACAAGATAACATGGAATCTAATTCTTTCATACTAGTTGTCATTAGCATAGACAGACATACACACACATACGTGTATATGTTTAAAGCAGCATGTCACACAAAGAAGCAGAAAACTTAGAATCATCAAATTATTTTGGAGGAAATTTGAAACACAATATGCTTTACTGAATTTGCCCCTAAATTATTAAGTTGCTTAATTTATCTTCTTTCTGCTCCCTCTGACCAACCTGTGATCCTCCTGGAATCCCTGAGATTCCTAGTCTTTTCTGAAATGGAGGGCAGGAAGTGGCGATGCTCCCAGTCACCCTGTAGTTCTACCACTAATAGCATTTGTGGGCTACAATAATGAGGCCAGGTCAGACTGACACTGAAACCTCTAGGAGTTAGACTGTACACATGTCAGGGGGCGATGGGCTGGTGCCTCCTACAGGACTATACCCAAAGAAGGTGGGCCGACTGTGGGCCAGATGGACTGAGGAGCCACATTCTCTTCAAGTCTCTTGTTACCCTCCTTCCTACTCTGACCAGGGCAGATACACATCCTCCCTTCTCAGCCTGATCCTCTTGTTAAAAAGTCAGTATTTGCAGAGTGGCAGCAGAGAAGCAGGCCACTCGCCCACACCATGCCTGGCTCTCCTTTGTGCTATGTCCTGGGCACACTGTCTATTGTCTGCAGTGATGGTTCTCTCGGCCTGGAGTTACCATTTCAATTTAAAATAAGTGACTACCTGTTATATGATCCTGAGAAGCTGTAGAAGGACCTAAGAGGAAAAATAAGAGGAGATAATGATGACATCCAGGAGAAAACCATTTAGTGTCATCTACATGTTAGTGAAATATAAAGGATTTCCTTAGAAACATCAATGTACTTAGTGCAAATTGAGAAGAGTCTGAAGGTGCTGAGTGACTATTCTATGTGGTCCTGTGACAGATTAAAGGAGGCCGCAAATTCTTAGACATTCCTCCTCCAAGGTGGGGTCTAGGTTCCCTCCCTTGAACTTGGGTGGGCTCTGCGACTGCTTTAACCAACAGAACATGGAGGAAGTGGCATTGTGCCGTAACAGACTGGTGGCTTCCCCTTCCTGTCTCTGGGAACATTGGCTTGCTCAGGCATCCCTAAGCCACCGTATAAGAAGTCTGACTACCCTTCTAGAGAGACCATGTGAAGAAGCCCTGCGACCACCTGCAATGGAAGAGGGCTCTGGATGAGCCGATCCTTCCAGTCAGCCCACCAAAGCACCAAGCTCGTAAGTGAAGCTGTCTTGAACTCTCCAGACCAGCCACCAGATGAACACCCTTGAGTGACTCTGCTCAATGCTCTGTGGAGCAGAAGAATCTCCCAGCTGAGCTCTGCCCAAATTCCTGACCCACAAAACTATGATATATATATATAAATGGTGTGAGCTTTAAGCCACCAAGTTTTAGGGCAGTAATATGTAACCAGATGACTTCTTTCACTCTACATCATTATCCTCATTTCTCTGCCATCCATGTAATATACATAAATGAGGAAACTATGGATGAGACTTCATTTGAATATCCACTGCCCTTGACCCTAACCATGGCCCTTTAGCTTTAGACAGCCCCTTTGCTCTCACTCATGACCTTAACACATAAAGCTGGCCTTCCTGTAGGAACACCCAGAACACATCAAGGTCTTCTCTAGGCAAGTGCCTGAGAGAGATGTTTCTGCCAATGACTCGTGCAGTCAGATGCTCTACTCCTGAGATATACCTTCAATACCAATGACTTGTGACTTGTGTGCATTCTCTGAGGCTGTGTGGGGACATCCAGGTGCATTCAAAGGGCAAGAGATGGCCTTGTAAATTCCATTTCTGACACCTTCTAATCAGGTTACCTTGGGCAGGCTTTTTAATCTCCCTAATCCTCACCTGTGAGGATGAAATAAGTTAATTTATCCAGAAACCCTTGCATCATGCCTGCTGCTGATAAGATGCACAGACAATGCATCAACAATGCAATGAAACAAAATACCTTTTCATTCACCTCTGGCATCATTTCAGAATTTACAGTGCATGTGTTGGTTGATTTTTCTAATTTTGGTTTTTATTACAAATGAATATCATTCAATCATTAAATTATAAGATCTTTAAAAATAGACAAAAGTCATAAGATCCCTGAGAGCATGTACTTTGCAGTCAGACTGATCAGTGTCAAAACTTGGTTCTACTGTTAACTTGCTGAGTGATCTTGAGAAAGTTACTTAACCTACCTGTGTCTCAAATTTCTCTTCTGTCAATATAATATACAATGCCCTTTCCTAGGACTGTCCTAATAATTGGCAATGATCTGAGCAAAACATTTCCTCACCCTTACTCTAGTTGTGCCTGGTCTTTGTGTAGCCAGGCCAGTGAATGGGTATGGTAAATGAGACTGACAGCCAAGAGCGTTGCCACCTCGGGTTCAAACCTACTAGCCAGCCCTGGGCACCTTGCTAACTTTCTGTGTCTCAGTTTATCTGGAAAATATCAATAATCCAAGTATCTACTTTAAGGGGTTCTTGTGGGATTGCAAGAGTTATATATGTGGACAGCACAGAACAGTGTCTGGTTCTTAGGATTTGCTGCTATTATTATTGTTATTACTGGAAAGTTGCTTGGACTAGAAAAAAATTTGGACATACCTGGAGGTGTGGGCAAAGGTAGGTCCTCTGCATCTGAATGCACAAAAAAGGAAATAGGTCAATCTCTTTGCAGTGACAAAGGTGTGGGCAGGGGATGAAGAGGAGAGGACTATGGGCTTTCTGAGTATAGCAACCCAGAGTACCAGAACCGCCCCCTGGGCAACTTCGGCCTTCCTCTGGCAAGGTCTTTGGCCATGGGGGCTGGGTCAACTCTGTTCTGTGCTGCCAGGGCTGGATTATCCTCGGCCTCTCTTATGCAGAATCCCTGGACTACTTGTTACAATGCAGATTTCTGAGCCCCTTGGAGGCCAATCCCTGGAATCTCTATTTAATGGCCCAGGTGGTGCTTGGGTACACTAACATTGGAGACCTCCCCTGTGCGACCCCATAGCTGCCTCCCCTGTGCGACATGGCAGGGCCTGTGTCCAGAGGAGATGCTGGAGGAAGGAGCTAGTAGATGGATGGATGGAGGAAAATTCCACCCAGGACACAGTTTTTCAAAATGTCTTCAACCCCAGCATCAGAAATTATTGCCTCAGAGGGGAGAAGGTACCTGAGCAGATGACACCAGCGTCCTCATGGTGGCCGCAGTTGTGCTCCAACCAGCCCGAGTGGGCGCACTGGCCCAGGTAGTGCTCCACCCCGGAGCACTGCAGGTTGTCCAGGAAGATGTCTCCTGAGCCTGGGCCGAAGTGG